GGTTGCTCATGCTACAGCTTTTCCAGATCTAAGACTTCAGTGGGTCCTCTCTTGTGGATTTTATTGCATATATCTGCTGCTCTTATCTGACTTGGACATATCAGACTTTACAGTACATTGGATTGGACTTTGAGCCCTTGCTTTATACCTTATACTTTATTGTTTTGTTCGCCACCTGTCATTTGTATATGGTATATGTTTAGCAGCCTGCCTTTTATGGTAGTTTATTGGTGCCTTTGGTGTGTTGGTGGGTCAGTTATTACATCCAACAGGGTCTAGAGGGTTGGGGGTGTCAGTGGGCAGGTGGGTTTTCCTCAGCTCCCTTCTCTCCACCATAGGGAGAGGGGTGGTTGGGTTTGTTTCTAGGGGGGTCATTGTGGGAGGAGCTTTGAGGGGATTGGAGGAGTTGTGGGGTATAGGTGGGTGGGTTGGGTTGGGAGAGTGGCAGGGGGTAGTTTGGACTGTGTGTGTGTGGGGGGGTTCTTTTTCTATCAGGGAGGCTTACACCCAGTAGACACATATACAATTGATTGTGTCTGACACGGGGGGCTCCTTCACTTCGGGGGTCAGGGGCTTCTGTGATTTGGACAACGCCGGATCTCTGTTGTTTTGTACACCGTGCATGGTTATAATATTAAACATATTTTGAAGTTAGCCTTTCAGGTGTGCAGCCTATTTTCTTCTTTCTTTATTTTTACGAATCCTATAAATAACACACTTCTTTTCCCTGGGTGGTAACACTCAATCCTCCACTGTATCTATAGATGCAGCCATGGTTGCCACCCAGGCTGAACGTATCTGCTTTTGTTCATCCCCATTATATGGTGGATAATGAGAGTAATAGTTTACACACATAAGATAACATTGTTTTATGCTGCTAGGTTAACCACTTCCAGCCGGAGTTATATGTGGCCTGTCTGCAGGTGGTCTTTAACGGTGAGAGGTCACATATATGCAGCCCTATGTAAACACTTTTCTGTGATGAAAGCACGCGCCCTGTGCACTACTGAAACACTTACCATTAGGGACCAGAAAGCTCCCAATGCATACTTGCAATCAGGAGCTTTGTGATCATGTGACTGCTGTGACAGCCAATCACAACGGTCACATGACCGGAATGCCCACCTCCCAGCATTTAGAAACTCTTAAAGGGGCGTGAGGTGGCGGCAAGAAGGGGTAACTAAGGAACTAGGAAGTGAAAAAGACACCACATTTCTGACAAGATCAGCAAGTACTTTTTATACTTGCTGAAAGAGTTTTTTAGGCTGAAAATAGGAAACTAAAGCAACTATCACTTCTAAGAACTGCTAAGCTAGAAGATATTAACAATTTCTTCTTGGGTTTAGTTATGCTTTAAGTTTTTCACTGTACATTTTGTGGGACTGCAGCCTCTTGAAATGAATTTGAACAGTGCAACTTTTTATGTTCTGAAATCATGGAAAACCTGGCCTGTCTTTTCATATTTTCTTATCAAACCTACCCCATAGTTAGTATAAATGCTAAATTATAAGTTAGTATAAATGCAAAGGCTCTGCTCACACTAGTGCAATTTCAGATGCGTCTTGCAGGGGCGGACCGACAACTCATGGGGCCCCCGGGCAATAGGGGATCATGGGGCTCCTGTGTCCTTGCCCTAACTCAAAAAAGCCTATGAAAAAGTACCACTGATGGACACTGACAGATGGCACTGCTGGGACTACATTGATCATCAGGGCACACTGATCATCAGTGCCCTGATGATAAGTGTACATGTCCCCTCCACGGAAAGCCGATTACCGGCTCTCCTCTCGAGCTGTCAGCGTGACAGCTCGTGGGGAGAGAAATGCCGATAACCGGCATTTCCCTGTTTACATGTGATCAGCTGTGATTGGACACAGCTGATCATATGACCGAGCCGACATCTTCGGCTCTTTCTGTGATCGGTGATCCACTGTGTCCGAGGGACACAGCGCACCGCTGATCGCCGCTTTGCGTGCTCTCTGAGCCACGCATACGCAGTGAGAATGGGAGGACATCATATGATATCCTTCCAGAACGAGAGAAACACCTTACTATATGGCGGGCGGGAGGTGGTTAAATAAATCTCCCGTAATCAGTGAGCAAGGAATTGGCTCCATCCTGTCCCATGATGTCATAATTATTTATTTATGATACTTATATAGCACTGTCAATTTACGCAGTGCTTTACATATATATATATATAGTACATTCACATCAGTCCCTAACCCTCAAGGGGCGTACAATCTAAGGTCCCTAACTCACATTCATACATACACATACTAGGGCCAATTTAGAAAGGATCCAATTTACCTACCAGCATGTCTTTGGAGTGTGGGAGGAAACCCACGCAGGCACAGGGAGAACATGCAAACTCCAAGCAGATGGTGCTGTGGTTGGGATTCGAATCAACGACCCTAGTGCTGCCAGACGGAAGTGCTAACCACTAAGCCACTGTGCCACCTGACATCACATGACATCGTAAGTCGCACAGAATGACAATGGAAATCACATTATTTTCAGTTGCTCCAGTGCACATCAATGCAAATCAGCAAGGTGCAGTTTTGGAAAAAGGTACCTGTACTACTTTGGTGCAAACCCAGCATGATTTTGGCCCCATAATATGCTAACCACTTCAAAATGTATACTGTATATATCCACATATATACTGTATACATATGTACAGTGGCATATAAATAGTATAAAAAATAAATAAAAAGGGTGATGGATTCCCTTGATGCCCTTTGTCTGTTGCAGAACCAAAAGCAGCCAACCAAACAATTCTTGTGCATATTGTTAATACAGTCTGAGTTTTAAATCTGGCACGCTTTGTGCTTTTGAGTATCATTGACTACAATGGCACAAGAAAATGTTCAGCCTACCATAACTTGCTCTCATTTATTATCCATGTGAAAAGGTAGATCTGTTTTGTTCCATTTCTGCTTAAAAGAACAAAAAGAAATACTGTAAAAATATTTGAGAGGAGGAGGTTTTGTCCATATTTTTACATACAGAGGCAACATTGGGAATTCAGTTTAAATCACCAGTGAATCCCCAATTTTGACGATTTTATGTACAAAAGCTAACCAGACTGTCCAATAATAGGTCTATAAAAATCACCATTTCTGTAGAATCTTTAAAGTATTATTAAACCCACAACAGTAAACTCATTCTGTATATGCAGTAAATGCATTGTGTATAAATGCTATTTGATCCTGACTTCTCTGATCCTCCCCTTCTTCTAGTGTTCTCTTATCTCCTGATAAGACATATTGTGGAGACACTCTGCACATGCTCAATTTGGTGTGTATTGCTAGAAAGTTTTTTTTTTTTTCTTGGGAGAGTGCAAAGGATCAACACAGGACCAATCAGCACTGTCCAGACAGAGGTCAGGGGTTCTGCATCCTCCTAGAGCAAAATGAAAGCTCCTCCTACAAGTTGTAACCAGTGCTCTGCTGGACACTGATAGAAGTCACAAGACTGCTCTAACTGCTGATGAGAAAACGTATTTAGCAGTTTATATTTACTGAAATAATTGCACTTCCATGTCCTGTGTACTGTGGGAGACCGGATATAGTGAATGCAGGGTCCTGGGTTTAGAAACACTTTATAGAGACTATATCACCAGCTTAAAAATTGCAGATAAAAGCACAGAACATCAAATATTTTACATGCATATTTGCAGTGTTTTCCTTTCCGTAAATTATTTTATATTGTCACTGTGCGTTTAACGTTTCTAGAAAATGTGACTACTTCAGTTAGAGTTGGTTCCCTAGCACAGCCTCCTCCCTCCTTGCATAGTATAGGCCTGTCCTCTTCTGAAAGTGTCTTAATACTGTCTGTGCTGGTCCAGTTTCTCTGCATCACCCATTTTATGTAGCTGTTGGGGGGAATACTTGAGTGACAGCTCTGAGTCTGCTGTGGGTGCTGACATTACATCCAAGATGGTGGTGCCCAGCAGCAATCTCAGCAAAACAACATGCACAAAATACATCAAATGCACAAACACTCACAAGCCATTTTATTAGGTACGCCTTGTTAGAGCCAAGAAAATCTCCCCCACACCATTACACCACCACCACCAGCCTGAACCATTGATACATGGCAGGATGGATCCATGCTTTCATGTTGTTTATGCCAAAATCTGAATGTTGCAGCAACTAGTCTGCCCATTCTCCTCTGACATCAACAAGGCATTTTTTTCTCCACACAACTTCCGCTCACTGGATATTTTCTCTTTCTCGGACCATTCTCTGTAAACCCTAGAGATGGTTGTGCATGAAAATCCCAGTAGATCAGCAGGTTTTGAATATACTCAGACCAGCCTGTCTGGCACCAACAACAATGCCATGTTAAAAGTCACTTAAATCCCCTTTCTTCCCCATTCTAATGCTCGGTTTGAAATTCAGCAAGTCGTCTTCACCACATCTACATGCCTTAATGCATTGAGTTGCTGCCATGTGATTGGCTAATTAGCAATTTGTGTTTGAAATTGAACAGGTGTACCTATTAAAGTGGCCAGTGAGTGTATAATCCTATAGCAATTTTTTAACCACTTGCCCTCCAGAGGATTTACCCCCCCTTCCTGACCAGGTCATTTTTTGCGATATGGCGCTGTGTTACTTTAACTGAAAATTGCGTGGTCATGCAATGCTGCAACCAAATAAAAATTATGTCCTTTTTTCCCACAAATAGAGCTTTCTTTCAGTGGTATTTGATCGCCTCTGTGGTTTTTATTTTATGTGCTATAAAAAAAGACCACCAATTTTGAGAAAAAAACACAATATTTTTTACTTTTGGCTAATAAACATGTCCAGTAAAAAAAATTTAAAAATCAAATTTCATCATAAATTTAGGCCAAAATGTATTCTGTTACATGTCTTTGCTAAAAAAAAAAAAAAACCCAACACGTGTAAATTAATTGGTTTACGTGAAAGTTATAGTGTCTGCAAATGGCAGTATAGATAGTGGATTTTTTTTTTCTCTTCTAATAATGGCGGCGATCAGCGACTTATAGTGGGACTGCGGCGGGCATTCTGACAGTGGGGGGGGAACAGACTTGTTGTCACTGACATCCCCAGTGACACCAATACAGTGATCAGTGCTAATAAAAAGCACTGACACTGTACTAATGACACTGGGCAGGAAGGGGTTAACATCTGAGGCAATCAAAGGGTTAACTGTGAGCTGTGTGCTGTTTTACTGTGTGCTGTGTGTGTGCTTTACACTGTAAGCACACTGCTTTGTATGGCTCTGCTATGCAGAGCCATACAAAGCAGAGTGCAGGAGTTGAAAGGGGAGAGATCTGTGTTGTTTACATACAGGTCTCTCCCCCATCCGTGGTCCAAGATAATCGCCTGGTACCTGTGGTGAATAACCTTCCGGTACCTGGTGATCGACAGGTGAGGCCGCCAATGGTCGGTGATACACAGTGATCACCAGGTGGCAGCGGGGATTCACATGCTGGGACCTGGTGATCGACAGGTATGGCTGCCTATGGTGGTGCGTGTAGGCAACAAATGTTTGTAGAAGCAGTCTGCATGCCTGGGTGCTTGATTTTATACACCTGTGGCCATGGAGGTGATTGGAAGGCCTGAATCCAATAGTTTGGAGGGCTGGCCCAATACTTTTGGGAATATAGTGTATATGGTTTTGCACAAAGCAGCCCCAATTCTCTTCTTGGGTCCCCAACAGTGCTTCTGGCTCATTCCCCCCTGCTGAGTGCCCCCATATCAAATCTCTTGCTATGTGGGCACTTGTGCAGGCTCATTCATGAGCCATGCTGTGTGTGTCCACTGACACACACAATGCGGCCCACCCCTGTCCTGAGCTCACTCCTCAAGGACTGTAATTGCTGTAATTGCTGTTTCTGAGCCAATGAGGAGAGAGAATGAGAGAGAAGTGATGTTGCTTTCAGGCACAGTACTGGATAGACAACAGGCAGAGATAAGTATAGGTGGGGCTGCCTATGGTGGCGCGGGTAGGGCTCGCCCCCTACCCAGAAATGCAAAATCCCTTTTATATACATGATTTTGCGCATCCCTGTTGCCTTTTAGCAGTATTTCTGCTGTAGGGTGGTGGGAAAGCAGTTAATGAACAATCTGATGAAAAACGTTATCTATAAAGAAATCATTTCAGGTCTAAATAAATCAACTAAGTAAACTTCTTGGATGTACTACATACGTCCAAAGCCAACTCTATGGCTGAAAGTCAAAGTGATGCTGCAGCAACCCCCCCCCCCCTTTCCATGGTTCCCGGGCTCTCCCTCTCTTACCTGAAGCCCGGGACCACTACCTCTGGCTTCAGGATAGAGAGTGGTGTGAGAGCAAGGCATATTTTACATATCTATGCCTCGACCTCACATGTAAACAAAGAAACTGTAAATTACAATAATTTGGTCGCTTTCAGTTTGAGGTCCACCATTGCCTGACCGTCCATTCCACGATTGTTAGGGTGAGAGTAATAACTCTAGCTCAGGAGCTCTTGGTTAACTCTAAACTGATGAAATGTAAAGACTTTTACAGTTTCACCTATGGAGATTTTTGGGTACCATAGTTTTTACTATATCACGGGCGCATGGAATTTTACAACTTGGCATGTTTGGTATTTATTTACTCGATGCAACCTCATATTGTACAACAAAATGGGTATTATATTTTTTTGCTTATTTGTTTGCGCTAAAATTAATTTTATTATATTTTTTCCTGAAAAATTGCATCTAATAAACAGTTGCACAAATATTGTGACATAAAAGCTTGCATCTTTTATTTCTACAGGGCTTCTGTTTTCAGAAAATATATAATGCTCTGGGGGTTTAACTAATTTTATTGCCAGAAATGAAGATTTTTACATGTGTGCAAAAATGAATAAAATATGCTCTAGAGAAAAACTAGTTAAACCCAACACTTCCTTTCAAAATAGAAGGGATTATACTGACCCTTAGCAAGTCCATTTTTACCACCTCTCCTCCATTCCAGCTCTGCAGCCTCCTTCTGTCTCTTCAGCATTTGACACTTCCAGGAGTGTCAGATGCCTTCATCGCCTGAACCCTATATCAAAAGTAAAGGGGATGTTATGTTTGTATGTGTATGTGCACAAACTGTATCTTCTTCTTTTAGTTACTGGTCCTTTAAGTCTCTATTAGTTCCATTCATTGTAATGTACACGGGTATGTAAGGTCTCAGTCTCACAATTTGATGCAGACCTGAGATTTGTGCCTGTTTTGAATATTATTCAGTAATATCCATTATTTATAAAGCACCAACATTTTATAAAGCCATGACAGGTGACAATGATAGATGATGAGAGAATTGAAGACAGACCATATGAGCTGTCAAGTGACGATGAAAAGTAACAATTTTAGGTAACAATTTGGAATTAGTAATGAGAAATGGCAACATGTGACGGGGACATTTGACAACTGAGAGACATTACATGGATACTGCTCGCTTTTTTAAAAGCAGGTCCTGCAAAGTGTAAACATATTTTATATTCAAATTTTGGTAGAGATGTCAAAGGGCAGCTATTATGAAACTGATGCAAAGAATGTTTTCAGAATAAAAAAAAAATGATTTTTCATATTTTACATGCAAACTTATACTGCCTCTAAAATTTTAAACAAAGTGCCAAAGTTTACCTTGAATTTGTTTTCCAATCAGATAATTTTTTTATTGTTTTTTAGTATGCATAGGACATGTATAACAACAACACACAAAACAAAAAAAACTAGAATGTACAGAGTATCCAGTGCAGCAAGAGGATTCTATGGACATTTGGTAATATCAAGTTACAAAATGGCTTTACATCCATGTTTTTACAGGGTTTTTGTTCTGTATACAACCTCTGGCAAAAAGCATGGAATCTTGGCAAATGTTCATTCAATTGTTTAATTGTGTAGAAAAAAAAGAACTAATCACAGACATGCCTCAAATCTATTTTCATTTAACATTCCAACCTTCTGGCTTTAAGAAACACTTAAAAAAATAAAAAAGAAAGAACACTGTAGTCAATTGCAACTGTTTTTGCAGATCAAGCAGAGAAAGAAAATATGGAATCACTCAATTCTGAGGAAAATATTATGGACTAATGAAAAAAACCACTACAGTACACCACTAGTACTTTGTTGCACTACCTCTAGCTTTATGACAGCTTGAGTTCTCTGAGGCATGGATTTAACTATTGACAAACAGTATTCTTCATCAATCCGGCTCCAACTTTCTCTTATTGTAGTTGCCAGATCAGCTTTGCAGGTTGGAGCCTTGTAATGGGCCATTTTCTTTCATTTCCACCATAGATTTTCAATTGGATGGAGATCAGGACTATTTGCAGGCCGTGCCATTACCATTATACCTCTTTCTTGGAGGAAAGTTTGCATGGCTTTGGCCCTTTGGCAAGATGCATTATCATCCTGAAAAATCATGTCATCACCATCACCATACATCCTTTCAATTGATGGAATAAGAAAAGAAAAAATGTCCAAAATCCCAATATAAACTTGTGCATTTATTGAAGATTTAATAACTTTCGTCTTCCCCATTCTTTTACCTGACATGCAACCCCATATCATCAATGACTCTGAAAATTTGGAAATCTGCATGTTTTCTGCAGGCAGTTGTCTTTATACATTTCATTGGAATGGCACCAAACAAAAGTTCCAGCATCATCACCCTGTCCAATGCAGATTTGTGATTCATCACTGAATATCACTTTCATCCAGTCATCCACAGTCCATGATTGCTTTTCTTTAGTCCACTGTTTGTTTTTTTCTGTTTAGGTGTTAATGATGGTTTTCTTTTGGCTTTTCTGTATGTAAATCCCATTTCCTTTAGGCAATGTCTTACAGTTCAGTCACAGACATTGACTCCAGTTTCTGCCCATTGGTTCCTCATTTGTTTTGTTGTGCATTTTCTGTTTTCAAGGCATATTGCTTTAAGTTTTCTATCTTGATGCTTTGATGTCTTCTTGGTCTACCAATACGCTTCTCTTTTACAACCTTCCCATTATATTTGTACTTGGTCTAGACCAGGGGTAGGCAACCTGCAGCTCTCTAGCTGTTGTGGAACTACATTTCCCATGAGGCATTGCAACATTACAAAACTGACAGTTACAGCTATGACTTGCAGAGGCATGATGGAACTTGTAGTCCTGCAACAGCTGGAGAGCTGTAGGTTGCCTACCCCTGGTCTAGACTTTAGACACAACTGACTGGGAACAACCAACATCTTTTGCAACATTCTGTGATGATTTACCTTCTTAAAGAAGTTTTATAATCCTCTCCTTTGTTTTAACTGACATCTCTCATGTTGGAGCCATGATTCATGTCAATCAGCTTGGTGCAACAGCTCACCAAGGTGTGTAAGCATTCTTTTTCAACTGCAGACTAATTAGCAGATGTAATCTGATGGAGATGTTTGTTTTAGAACTGCAACATACATGGTGATTCCATAATATTTTCCTCAGAAATGAGTGATTCCATAATTTTTTCCTCTGCTTGATATGCAAAAACAGTTGCAATTGACTACAGTGTTCTTTCTTTTTAATTTTTTTAAGTGTTTCTTAAGCCAGAAGGTTGTAATGTTAAATGAAAATAGTTTTGAGGCATGTCTGTGATTAGTTTTTTTTTTTCTACACAATTAAACAATTGAATGAACATTTTCCAAGAAGGGTGATTCTGTACTTTTTGCCAGGGATTGTATAATCATTGTGTTGAATAGGAAGCCATTTATTAGGCATCCATTGCAATTTCAGCCTATTGAAATCCTGAAACAGGAAGTTTCACTCAGACATCAGTCCAATTCCAGTTTAGGTTCCAGAAGAACCCAAGTGAAGGCTTCCTTTGATAAACATATGCCTGTGCGTTCTTTCATTGTGTTTGTCATAGTCATATACTGTAAATAACTGCAATAGCACCATATCACACTAGGTGATAACAAAGCTCTTAATTTCTGGAATGATAACTTTCGCACCACAGTGTTTAATATAACCACTGAAGACAATTGGGTGGCAGGTACAATATAAAACAAGATGTACTTGAGTAACTATGAGTAAGGAGTTCTACTAAAATACCTCCAACAGCTGGATATCTTGAACCAAAAATAAGATAATAGCTTGTATGTAGAAGCATTGTTTATTTCCTTAGAGTTCAACCTTTATAGAAACCCTTGTATGAAAAAAAACTGTTGACTTTATGCAGAAGGTGTTTGAGAGAGGCCATGCTGAGCCTGCACCACCACTTATGGATAGACAATAATGGAATGGAATAAATGGAATGGAAAAATTGGTACCTACTGTGTTTTGGTATGTTACATTCACGCAAGCCAGGCGAGACCAGGATATTCTTTGACTCTAGCGCTCACTATGAAGGTATTTCCCTCAACAACCTTCTTTTCACCAGGTGTAATTTGAATAACAAACTTACAGA